CTTGTACCGTCTTCCTTTTCCCTCACTGGCACAGCAACACACACAGTGTGTCTCCCCTCCCCCCACTCAGTGATGCAGATTACAGGCTTTGTGTTGCGTTGTCAGTGCATGGCCAAGACTGTGTGTGTGTGTGTGTGTGTGTGTGTGTGTGTGTGTGTGTGTGTGTGTGTGTGTGTGTGTTAGAGTGCACGTGTTGAGGCTTGTGCTGCTGGTGGGGTGGCATATGGATGCAGGGTTGGCTGGGCACTGCTATGCACACCAGGTGTGAAATGGACTGTTTAATTAAGTGCTGATGTTGTTGTAATGCATGCTGGTAGGGAGGCATTTGGCGGAGGGGGTGTAGGGTTTGGTGTATTGGTGGGGTGGAGGAGAGCCCCTTCTGCCTGGCAGGGCGAGGGATGGCTATGCTCGGATGTTTTGGCAGAAGTGGCAGTGGGGGTGGCAGAAGAATGGTAGGGGCCATTTGGCCACACGAAAACATTTCTGTGTGGCGTTGTCTTCCATCAAGGCTTAGTGATCCTGTGGGAGTCGCTGCTGAAGAGCTGCGGTGGCTTTTTGATTGGGTCAGTGGCTGAACTAAAAGGTGCCGTCTATGCAGGAACACTTGGCCACAGCCTCTGACCACAGCTTGGTTTGTTTGTTTTTGCTGCTGTTGGTTGTATCTTTTGTGTGTGCGCATGTGTGGCTCAGCTTGAGCGGTCAAGTGTGGAGGCAGTCTGGGAGAGTGGGACTGGTAATAGAGGAGGCGACAGAGAAAGGAGCTTCACATTAATCACACACAGCTTGGGACTAAGGCAGCGCTTGCTTTATTTTCTCCTTTTTTCCTAGCTCTTTCCTTCTGTCTCTTTTCTCTCTTTCTCTGCGCCCCCACCTTCCCAACCCCATCACACACACACACACACACACACACACACACACACACACACACACACACCCCCCTACACACCAAGAAAGTGACAATCAGTACATCTAATGAAGTGCAGGTTGGGAGCTGATGAGCCTGTTCGAGACTCTGGGGACGCAGGCTTTGATTCACTCCTCCTCTCGCTCCCTACAGAGGCCACCATCTATGGCCATCTTCTGTCTGTCTATATGGAAAGGGAGGTGCATATTGCAGAAATGACACCAGCTTGGTGCCAATCAAATAGCTCATATGATTTTTTTACTATCAGATGGCACTTTGATGTGAGGGAAGGATGAGACAAAAAGGGATCAGTATGGAAATTGGAGCAGGGGGGTTGAAAATGGACAAGAGAAAATCTTGGAGGAGGGATGGAGGCTTGATGAAGGAAAGAGGCTTATAGATTCACATGACTTTATGTGGTTGAACCGGAAAATAAAGTGAAACCTGCATAGATGCACACATGTAGCAACTCTCTCAGACACATCCCATGAGGCCTTTACTGGCTGTAGTGTATGTGTTTGTGAAAATTGCACGCTGTGTCTGACGGGTCTGCGCCTGGTTGGCTGGCACTGTGTCTGAAGAACAGAAGGAAAAGGAATCAGTGTGTATGAAGAAATGGTAGTTGTGGTTGTGTGGGGTGTTGTGAGCGAGGAGGAGAAGGAGGGAATGATAGAGGAGTAATAGATGTTTTTGTTTTCTTGTATACGTGGCGAGGAAGGGTGCCTAGACGTGAACACAGATTCTGCACACTGGAGAAGAGAATGAAACCAGTGGTAGACGCCGGCCCTTGTCCCTTTTATTTCCTTTTCCCCTCACCTGCTTCTCTTCCTGCTCTTAATTATTTAGTCTGCCCTGCCTCTGCTCCTGTCTGCTTTGCCTCCACATGGAAAAGGAGGAGATGGGGGTGAGAGAAATAGATGGAGTAGAGGTCTGTTGCTTAGCAGTCCTCTCCTCTCTGCTTCTTCCCTCCCTCCAGCCTTATCCCACCCCATCCTTGTGCATGCATGTTGTGAGAGAGTGTGTCTGTGTGTGGTGAGTGAATAGGCTGTGACACTAGAGCTGTATTAAGTGTAGCTCCATTCCCCAGGCTGAGTGGGCTGCTATTGATTGGCCTAGTCTTGCACGGGAGAGTAATGGCTCTCCGAGGTGAGGGGGGGAGGATTAGGCCACTAATTGCCATTGTGCAGACAAGATATGCCTCCCCCCCTCATGTCCACCACCCTGTCCCCGCCACCCACTCACCCATCTCCACCCCTTATCTCTCTGCTTTCCTCTTGTCTTCTTCTCTTCCTCACCTTGCACCTCTTTTGCACTCTCACTTGCCGTTTTTTTTCTCAAATCACTCCTATCATTCTTCATTTTAATGTCTCACATCACACGTTTCATCACCACCTTATCCTCACATTTTTTTTCTTCTTTCTGCCCCCCAACCCCCCCCCCTATGCCTGTTACCACCATGTTTTCTACACCGTCACCTCACTGCCATTATTGATTCTTTGCATTATTTAGTGTTATTAGTAAGAATGAGGTGTTCAAAATCTTTCAATATCCTGACGGCACCTATCATAAGCTGACGCTGTCTGTTATGCTGCCCCGGAAACCAAGGCAGGGAAGATGTGGCAGTTGGGTAAGAGAGCTGTGGTTGTTATTGTGATGGTGATAATTGGAGAGGAAGTAGACTTGAAACTGGCCCCAGGTTTCGGCTCCTGTGGCTGCATGTGAGCCTGTTCATGTACCAAAGCACACTACCTGTACATGCACACACATACATGCTCGTCTCCCGCTGCCCTTGCAGCAGCGCCGAAGTGTGTGCTCCATTGAGAGGGTTGTGACCCAGTTTGACTGTAATGCTGCGTTCACGCTGAGCGGAGGAAACCTACAGCACACTGTACTGTCAAGAGAAGGGGCAAGGCTAAGTGTGGAAGGGAAAAGAAAAAGTAGAGAGACACTGGTTAAAACACAGGGAAATGAAGGAAGACTTCTTCCACTGCAGCAAAGAGACAGTGGACACAGACGAGAAAAACAGAAGGTGTTGACTTTATGGGGAAGATAAAGATGCATGGTTGGAAAGATGAAATCGTAGAGATGATGTGAGCATATCATATGAGAGCTTTGGAACTAGAGAGAGAAAGCGAGCTGTGTGGAAAGCGAGGCATGTGACCAGACCGTGACCCTGCGCTACAGGGTTTCCCTGGAGGGCTTTGTTAATGTGGCACAGCTACAGAGCAGCAGAGGTGTGTGTGTGTGTGTGTGTGTGTGTGTGTGTGTGTGTGTGTGTGTGTGTGTGTGTGTGTGTGTGTGTGTGTGTGTGTGTGTGTGTGTGTGTGTGTGTGTGTTTTAAGGCATTATAATGTTGTTACATTTGCCTTTAAAATGAAAACCCTGACTTTGAGCTGTTCTTGATTCCACTTGTTAACTTTACTCATGCTTTTTCCCTCTTTCTTTTTCCAGCTGCGTCCTCCATCAGCAGTGAGTCCTCTCCAGTGTCCTCCCCAGCCACCAACCACAGCTCTCCAGTCAGTACACCCAAGAGGGGTCCCCTTGGTCAAGGGCCTGTCCTGGTCCCCCCCGCCGGCCACAGCGTGCCAAACACCCCGCCTGTAGTCACCATTGCTCCAACAAAGACTAGCAACGGCCTCTGGAGGAGCGAGGGACGCCAGGTAACAGACTACATTCAAACGCCCACCACACTGACCTTCAGCCTGCTCTTACTCCCTTTTTTGTGTTCTCTCTCACTCTTTCGGAAGTCTTACATGTGTGCGGTATTTTCTTTCTTTGTAGTTTTCTTAAAGCACCAAAGATTGTTTTTATTTTTGAGCTTGTTTGCCAGCATAAGCATGAACACAAACAAGCTCTGTAGGGAATAGTGGATTTTGTAGATGGCCTCTAACCCCTAGTGGCAGTACATATTTGACATATGCACATGTGACATAGCTTGCAGGTCTATGAATGTCTGCTTCCCTCAGAACCCCCTCACCACGGTGTCATTCAGCCCCCCCCATTGCTCCATGAGTTAAACAATGCCAGCTGCCACTGGGACATTGAGGTGACAGCGTCAACGGCATCTAACATCTGTGCCCCTCCAGCCCCCCTCCCACTTAGCCCTCTTGCCCTTGGCCCAACCCTTCCCCAAACCCCAGCCTTTAGCCTACTAAGCCCCCCTGTCCTCACCTCCAGCCTGACCCTCTTCACTTGAGCAGTCAAGTGCATCCTTCGCCTCGTCACCCTGACACCCGGGAAGTGTTACGTAGTGGGGGGGAGAGAGAACCGGGGGGAGAGAGAGGGAGAGCTGCTTGCTTTGATAAGGAGTGGATTATGGATTATGGCCTCGCTTTAAGCCTTCTTATCTCGGCTCAGGGCTAATTTTCGAGGCCAAGCGCACAGTTACGAACAGCACTCGGCAACATCCGGAAACATCTGAGACACTTTGACAGTTCCCTGGAGGAAAAGAGAAGGGGGATAGCAAAGGGTGAGAGAGGAGGTCATCCAGAGAGCAATGTGTGGTAGCATTCAGGCTATTGTTTTCTGCAGTGGACAACCCCTCTGACCCCATCCCCTGTAGCGTCAGCTATGACCCCTTCCACAGTTCAAGGGTCAACCAGAGCTACAAGGGGCTAGAGAGACACGGGAGCCAGTGATTCCATCCTTTATGCCATTCCTTCAGCATAGCATGTTTTTAAGCACAGAGAGAAATAAATGGACATAAGCACTCTCCGTGCATGCATCGGGTGGTTTTGCACAGTGGTTGTGTGTTTGTGTGTCTAAGAGGTCAAGCTCAATTGGAAAAGGTCGCTACTGGGTTTGTGGTGCCTCTAGCAGCGTGGGGCCAGCGAACCAAAGAATGAGGAGGTTAAGGGAGGTGATGTGGACATGAGGTTGGGATGAGGGGAAGAGGTCAGGAGGGGCAGCGTCACAAAAGCTGGCGTCATCTCCCCTCTATCTGCAGCGCCGCTACAGCAAGCACATTTGACTCACAAAGAGCCAGGGGGCTGTAAAGGACACACACATACACACCATCAAAATGTCCCTCTTTAACAAATATGATACTGTCTGGAGCTTTGCTTAAAACTGATTAGGAAGGATGCATACAAAGAGG